AGGCGCGCTCAAATTGGTTTGTTTTTCGATGATTCAGCTTTGCGGTCTTCGTGTGATTTCGTCATGTTCTCATTTTCCTTTCTTTTACTTCATTTTTCTTGGTTTTATAGTTTTGTTGTTTTTTCTCTTCAAGTGATTAAGTGTAAATTTTCTAATGAAATGCTGGTTTACGAGTATGTCACAGGTTAGTTGGAAATACGACTATTGTGAGAAATACACGGCGAGTTGATGTTTTGTTTTTGTTTATTCGACACCCAATGGCAATTGGAAGCATTTCAGTATAATCACGGCATTTTGTGGTCAATTAACATGGTTTTACGAAATATATGTACATACATATATATGTAAGTTTATAATTCATAAAATTTTGTGCTTAAAGTTCAATGTTAGTCAAGAAGTAGTTATCCTCACTATTGATAGCATCACGCTACTTCATTATAAGATTCGTTTAGGCGTCTTGGTCATTGCGGAATTGCGCAAAGCCGATGAGTTCGCAAGCGAGAACACTCTCGTCATAGTTATATCGGATTGGGTCTCCGTTGTCCTCTGGTTTTTTTTGTGTTGAATCTATGGACCTCGCGTGAGCTGAGCATCGACAACTAGCTCCTGTGTGAATGGGTGATCTTTCTTGCCTAGAGTAGAACGCAGCACATTCATTGAAATACTTACTCTTAGCAAAGCTAATCTTGCTTCAATCCCAGGAGTTCTTCTGCGCATCCTGGTCATCAACGATCTGCTGAAAAAACTTCAGTAAATTGACTGTCGAATGATTGCCTATGCAGACGATGGTCAAAGGAAAGTTCCTGAGTACCGTGTACGAACTGACGTAAAAGTATCTCAACGTCGTAACTAATTGTACAGCTGGAAGTGGCTTCGACATTAACCCAAATGAAACTGAGACGGTTTTATTTACTAAGAGATACAAGATCCAGGTAGTACCACTGATGCTGATGAGAAGCATCCGCTTCAACATGCAGAAACTGTGAAGTAGCATTGATTGCCTTGTACTGCTGCAGAGGAGTCATTGGCAAAAGATGGGGTCTTTCTGCGGTGGTGGGCTCTAGAAAATACCACACTTACAAGAAAGTTCGCGAGCGTTCAACGAGCGGCGCTCATCAGTATGTGCGGTGCACCAAGGTCCACACCAACTATGGCATGTAATACCGTTTTCTATATAATACACATACATATTGCCGAAAGATGTACGCCCGCGGAAGTTGCTGTCAGACTCTGAGAATCTGGATTTCTAAATGAGCATGTGTCTGAGCATTCCGTTCGGACATCCCCTCAAACTTTGATTTCATAACGGATCGTTTAGAACATTAAGTCGTCATGCCAAACTTTGGCGGCGCTTGTTCTATTACCGAATAGCTCGGCTTCGTGGGAACTTGGTCAGCGCTGGGCTACCATTTATTCTCGCTCTGTCGTAAGATCCTTTTAACTCAAGATAGATCATAAGGGAGTAAGTATGTAAGTCCAGTAAGCTCTTTGCCCTCAGTAAGGATAGATTTTTGCTATTTGTGATGGTTCTAACAGAACATTACCCTATTGGTGCTTACGCTTTAAGCTTGAGAATATCGGATGCCAGCTGCAGCAGCTGTGTGGAAGAAGACGGGGTGAAAACATATCAACACTTCCTTCTTGTGTTTGCGAAATCAAGGTTTAAACACTTGAGAGCTCACACTTTCAGATATGGAAACGAGCTGGTGAGAATAGAAATTAAACGTCTAAGCAAATTTATATTGGCAACAAGGCGATTTGCGAACTTAAAAGATCGTATACAGGAGTTATATTTTTATAGCTGCATATAGTGATTCAAATGCGATGCCTGGTTGGATCAGCCAACGAACTTAACCTAACCAAAGTTGATAAATGTCAACAAAGGAACCGTTCTTTCAGATTCTAATGCCTGATTCACATACAATCCACCCGAGAGGACTGCCGATCTTTCATCGGCACATCTAATAAATTTGTGAAGTCCATGGTGCCATCCGGTACTCTCACACTTAGGGGGTGGCCCAGGCTTCCCTCTGAGCACCTTTACGTAGACTACGAAGAAGCCGCAGCTACTCTCATCCATTCTTCTAGGGAGATGCTGCGGTCGAATACGCCAAGCTCTATTGGGCCAGCGAGTTTAGCGATTTCACAAAAGATTGGTGCAGCTTGCGTTCGCGGTCTTTTACTATGGGAGGCTTCCTCCTCATGCAATGTTTATCGCTTGATTGTGTGTTCGGTTTTGTCTTCTTATTTTCGCCCACTCGTTAGTGTGCTAGCATGCTGCTCAGATATCTGTTCAGCATTCTTGCCACCGTAGCTCCCCAAGATTTTGGCTGCCAAGTGGCGGTCTGTCTTTTGCTTCCTAGCTGGTGTTTCACGGAGTAGGAGGACTGTACCTACGTCGCTTGCCGGCAGCTTTCCGCCGATGTTCCCTACTTATTGTTTCATGAGGGTACCAAAATAGTTTAAACCGATTCTCTGAGAAAGTGTCCCGAGAGTGCAAGCGAAAAAAAAATTGCTGACTCCAAAAATGAATTAATATCACTAATTCGGGCAAGCCAAGAAGGGAGCGTTCATCAGTGGAAAAAAAGCTCTGTGAAAGCAGGCGATAATTTTATTAACCATAATAGAAAATTAACACCCAAACGGAAACTGAACGATCCAAATCAGGTTCTTGTATGGAAAAAAAACTATTTTTGTGCCCGATTAGTTTGAGAAGAATTCACAAGGATTAATGATGGTCACAGCAAGGAGCTTCGATTGAAACTGGATCAACACAAACAGCCATTACTTTTACATTATTAATTGGTTTTTTTTTGTAATTTCTGTCAAGTTCTTTAATGATGCTATCAGTGATGGATTTAGAAAAAATTTTCTATACAATTTATAATTAACTTATTCTTTTAAATAGACATTTTATCTTTCAAGAAATATAATTTATGCAGTATGAATCAAATTAACATTTTATATATTATATTATAGGATATTTGAGTGAAAACTATTAAAATAGTTTAATTAATTTATTTCCATAAGGGTTTGAAAAAATATAATTTGATATTTTTATTTTGTGAAATTGGAGAATCATCCAATAACACTAAATAATTAAAATTTAATAGAACATTTTTATATTTTCGAGTCAAATCAACTGTTAACTACATATGCTGCCACCTTCAGTCAGTATACAAATGAAACGAGTTTTCTGCGATATAATTTCTCTCATATTTGACGATTAGATGAATATAACTTGCAAAGACTTTCAATTTTGTTGAGCATAAATCTGAAATTAATTGTTGAATATGGCTGATGAACGCAAAAAATTAAGTGGATATGAGTATCGGAAACGCGCTTTGGACAAAACTAAAAAGGAGCAAGAGGTTTTGAGTAAAACTTTTAAGTTGGATGATTTTTTTAATAAAGAAAGAATGTGTAACCAAGAAATCAGAATCTATGAATAAAGAATGTACAAATTTGGATCATGAAGGTTTGTCGCGAGAGTCTTATTAAGCTCCATTTTTTACAGAATATAATGTTTTTTTTGTCATAATGATGTTTGTAATAATGATATTAATCGAATGTAAATTTTAACAGGTGGTGATGCACGCTTTACTTCAACTTCGAAACAGACATCGTCTACGAATAATAGTACTGACAGTACCACGACTTCTTCACTGCCACAGAATATCAACATGAAGATAAACCTGAAGCTACAGTTCCAACAATAAATGTAGAAGAGGTTGCGCCGCAAAACGTATTCGTGATAAGCGATGATCCAAGAGAATGGATAATAAATGATTTTACTAGAGATTATGTAGCTACCTATGGGTGTAAACAAAGTAAATATTTGAATTTCTACGGTATAAAACGTGATTACAACGACGGGACTTCACGATGGCTTTCAGAATCACTATTTGTTAGAAAACTTTTTAACTTTCATAAAAAATGCATGTTAATCCTTAAGCAAATGTCAGATACCTAGAATAGAATAGCCCATGACTTAGTTAGGAGAAATATTTTTAGAAGAGTAGAGGCTGCCACTATAGCCCTAGCTTCTCGAGGACTTCCATTCCGAGGCAGTAATGTGAAATTTGAGTTTCCAAACGTAGAAATCGCTTACCGAATATTTATAACTTTAGCTGTGACCAACTGTAGCGCAGAACGATCGTTTTCTTGCTTAAAACGAGTTAAAAATTACTTACTTCTACAATGGTTGCAAATAGACTTAATAGCTTAGCTATTCTATGCATAGAATCAGATGTGCTTCAACGTTTAGATTGTGAAGATTTAATCGACCAGTTTGCAATTCAAAAAGTCAGGCGAGTTTGCCTGTGAAAAAATAATGCAATACTAATATAAGTCGTCCTTAGTTTAAAATTTATAATTCTAAGAAAAATACAAAAATTTTTTTATATTACTATAGTATATAATAAATAATATATATAATACATAATAAATTTTCTGAAATTAGTTAGTCTGATTCTTAAAAAATAAATATATCAAAACTATTAAAATAAAATTTCTATCATAAGGCGGCATTTTCTTCAGTGCTCCAGGGCGGCACAAATTTAAATCCGGCCCTAGATGCTATGTTTTTATCTTTATAAAATAAAATAATTTACTGCCAAAAAGATATTTATGTATGTACCATAAATGATTTGCTTTTAGCTTTATCTTTCATCTGAAAATATATCTTGTCTATATTTTGAAGCCTTGACTTTCAATAAAAATTAATATAATTTTGCCATAATTATTGTTGACGTATATTTCTTATGTTAGTTCAGCGCCCTCTACTAGCGAATAGTTCAGGAGTTGACGCGACATCTATAAACCATAGTTGTCACTGTGACACCATTTTCTTCTCAACAGGTATTTGTATATATAAACACTTACATATATTGCTTTATATTTAATAATTAGTGCCCACTGTAATAAATTACAAATAAGTTGAGCAACATTGAGTTGTATTGTAGATAGTATCAGGGAGCGTATATCTAAACGTATATATACGTTCTCTGATGAAAGTTGTCAGTTAATTCTATAAGTGAACGTCTGGCAGCATATATTTCTAACACGGCGCTGCTTCTGTCAATGCCAACGTCGCTGCAGCTAGATGAAACTGACAACGCAGAACAACAACAATTGTTGTATTTTCTTTGGATTTGTTTTCTATCACCCTCAAAGCTTTAAGAAAGACTTATTCGAGCGGATGTGCAGTGATTTCTTAGATCTTTTAGTGAACGCATAGGCCAACATAAAATTTCATTTGTTTAGCAATATATTTGAAAAGAAAACTAAATATAATTTATTTAAATTTTTGATAAATATGTGTAGTAAACAAATGTGGAACCGGCGAATCCCGGTACTTGTGTTGTTATTCTGCATACTGGGTGAGTAGTACTCAAGAGTAAAGCGAATCTACAGGTTAGAACAAAGGCAGATGTAAAGGGAAGGTTAATTGAACAAACTAATACTATTTTACTTAGCTTATTAATGATTCCAAACACAACGCAATAATTGTGTTGTTTTTAGACATACTTGTAGGTATGTACATATGTATGTATATTTTATAATAGTAGATCAATGACCTATTCAAAAACGGAAATCCAATCTTAATTGGAAAACAGCTGATGGATTTTGGATTAAAAAAATATGTGTTTCCTCCCTATATATGTAGGCAATCAATAATTAATTAATTAATGTGTATGCCATCATGTAAGTACAACTGTATATATGGGCAAATATATCTTCATTCAACAAAACTGATAACCTTTGCCTCAAATCACTACTGTGTTAGAGAAATTATGTATTTGTCTTCATAAAAGCATGTATGCGGCACAGATAAGAATATACAAAAGTCGCTGACAATGCACACTGTCAGCTTGGAATGACGTGTCTTTAAATTGAAAAATCGTTAATTTCTGGTGCACCCATAGCTATAATACCCTTCACGATTGCATTTTTTAATGGTTAAAAGCTTATAAAAAGATCTTGGTTTTGATTTTGATCGTTGAGTTTGTATGCCAGCGATATGATATAGTGGTCGGATCTGGAATATTTTTTTTTAAATTGCCGCATTCCTTTGGAGAATAATCCTTGCCAAATTAAAATAAAAAAGTTTCTCATATCAGAACTTAACTTTGAGCGATCAGTTTCTATGGCAGCTATATGCTACAGTGGTCCGATATCGGCGCTTCCAACAAATGAACAGCTTCTTAGGGAGAAAAGAACGTCTGCAAAATTTCAGAACAATAACTGTATAACAAGAACAAATAACGGACAAACAAAAGGACAGGGCTAAATCGACACAGCTCGTCACGCTGATCATTTATATATTCATTTTATAGGACGACTTTTCCTTATGGGTGTTACTAAACTTGATATATATTGTCTATAAATTTTGTAAAATAATTCACAAATTAACTAAATTTTTCATAAATCAAAACTAAACTACAAACTTAGGGTAAACTAACTAAATAAAATTTCAACATAAGTATAATATAATAAAAATTATTTTTTCCAGTTCCTACGACATTTTCAAAAACTGCCTTTCTCATTCCACCAAAAAGCCAACACTTCTTTGAGCTCACCAATGTCGTATCTATGCACGACTTGAGCCGTATGAGCGCCGAGGAAGCCAGTTACATATTTCGGGCACAGTTAAAAGTTAACTCAGTATGGAACACAGAGCGGGATCAATTGCTAGAAGTTTTTATTACATATTCGAAAGTCAGTGCACCCGCCAAAGCGCGCAAATCAAGTAAAAATGCAGAGATAACAAAAATACCTGATCGACCCTTCTATGTCAGCCTTGTTGCCGGCAAGCCCCATAAGGTCATAGCACACACATCGCGAGATCAATCGCTTCTGAATTTAGAGCGTGGATTTGCATCGCTGTTACTATTGCAATACCAAAATGGTCCCGTCACGGAGGTGGATGTATCGGGAAAATGCAACGCCTTTTATGCCGTCAAATCATCTACAAATATTGAAAAGATCAAAACAGATTGCTCACATTGGGATTTAAAAGTCAATTACAGAGCTGAAAAATCATTGGGTAAGAAAATTATAAATACACTGATAATTAGTTTTTAATAATTTTCTTTTATGATTCCAGGTATAACACAAGTGTCACAAGAAATTGTTGAATATGAACTGAGTGCTGAGGGTGCACTCATGCAAGCTATATCCTCGGAAAAGCATCGCATTGGCCTGGCTGCGAAACCAGATGTGGGCAGCGAAGTGAGCGCTAAGTTTAGTTTAACTCATCTTGTCGAGAGCGCAGACGTAGTTAAGCAACTGGAGTTTGATAAGCTTGATGATGCGGTTCAAAGTTTGCTGGAGTGGTATCGTGTTTTTGATATTGAGGCAGATGTAGACGGTGCAATCAGTGAAATTAAGGACACCACTGTTAGTTTGCTCAAACAAATTAGTGAATTTAGTTCATTTTATATTTTCTCATTTTATAGCTTAAAAATGAAATCGCAAACTTTGTTGCTGATTTTACGAGCGAAAATGTGGGCAAACAGTCTCTAGCGCGTGCCATTGCTGAATTGCTGCCAGTAGCGCGCATCACAAAGCAAACCGAATTCGTTGAGATCTTAAAATCCCACAAAGAATCTGCCCAGCCAACGATTGATCTGCTAGCAGCCGTTCAAACAATTGATGCCCACAATGCTATAACGGAAATATACAATTTTAATGGCGATGATGATGTTGAGCTTTTGGAGCAATATCTCCAATCTCTCGCTGTTGGCACACATCCAGAACGTGCGATTATCGAAGATCTCTTCACGCGCTTGCAAACTACCAACGAAAATGAAAAAATTACAAATGCAAAACTGCAAGACTCTGTAATACAAACGATCGCCGCGCTTACGCGTCAATCTGGTTTTGACCCCAACGATACGCTACTACAAAAAATCCGTCACTATCTACTGGATAACCTTAGTGAAAAATGTACGGAAATCGACTGTAAAGTTTTATATATACGTGCGTTGCAAAACTTGCAAGATGTGAGCACATTACAAACGCTTTTCGACAGCGCTTTGAATGGTGCACCAGCGGAATCTGTTGCTGCATTACAAGCATTGAAAAGCTTCTCGATTGTCAACTTTAACGAAAAGCAACGCAGCAGTCTAGCGGAAATCTTTTACCAAACCAAACGTAAATTCGATACATCAGCACGTGTCATCGCTTTAGAAATACTGCTTGCGCTCAAGCCCACCAAGGAGCAGTTGTGTGAGCTACTCCTTTACTTGAATTCTAACGATCAATATTTTGAGGTTAAAACATTCGTTATACAAAAATTGCGCATGTTAGCGGACAAGTGTCCACGCTTTCGGGCGCTTTTAAAATCCTGCTTAGCAGAACTGCCGGAAGTGAATAATTATCATGTAATCGGCCAGAAAGGTCTTACAACTGTGTTGAGCCGACAAATCTCCCAAACGCCGGCGTTTAACGAAACACTATTGAGTACACAGGAAATTTCTCAGGGTGTATTAAAGCGTGGCACTGTTGAGCTGCTCCTGGGTGCAGGCAAAGACGAATTTAGCAGTTTTAAGGCAAGTCATTTAACGTCATAATATGAAATTTTACCAAAATATTCAAGAAGTATTCCTTTACCTATGCAGATCGGTATTTACACCAGTGGTCTAACATCCTTCATTGGGGATGCTGAAGACGTATCCGAAGATGAGGCTGACGAAAGTCCTGCCACCGCTGGTATGGAATTAGCTGTGCAGGGTATACTTCTACGCCCGCTCGTTTTCTTCTCCGGCCAAGGTGAATTGATGGGTCATGTGTGGAGTGGTACGGCCTCGGAACCCACACCAGCTTACCAAGCAACCATATTAGCAGAGGATCACGAGCATTACGTCATTCTCGCATCGGGTGCGACGGTTTACATGCGTGTGGTGGGCACACGTTCGATCGATCTAAATGGGAAGGTAGAGTTCAGTTTGTGGAATCGCAATGCCAACACGGAAATCAAACAGAAGTAAATTCAGAGCTTGAGTTCAATCATAAATTGATTTCTAAATATACAATTTGTTAATTACAGCACGGGCACAGCTGTAGTTGGCAGCATGGTAGCGGGTTTTACTTATGCAAAAGTGGAAAATAAGTTTACATTGACTAGTGAACCGCATATAAGTCTGCAGGCTGATATTGATTTCTATTCGGGCGTTAAATTGTGTATGAGATTGGAACGACCGGACATGATATTGAAGTGAGTACCAAATTTGCAAGATAATATTATTTAGTTCTATTTGTAAACAATTGCTTACTTTCAGCTTGTCGTATACAAAGTCTGTTTATTTGACACCGAGCTCATACTACAAACATATACGCACGAAATCCACACATAAACTCGCCGGTCGCACTTTGGCTTTAAATCAAAAGAATAATGAGATGTGCAATATAATATTCAGTGATTAAGTTATTAATATCAATTGTGGGGTTAAACATATCAGTATACTCAATACTCAAAGCTCTCTTCCTTATATTGTGAATCTCGTATAATACTACAAATGTAAATCAATAATTGCCTTAATTATACTCACAAAAGTGATTAATTTGTAGGAATTTCCTTTTGTATATGATTAAAACTGTGCAGCATTTATAGAGACAATAAATATATTTTTACAATCAAAAATCATCGTTTTTTCTATCGAATCAAGTTTTTGACCCCTTACTTGCAGCAGAAGGCAGTCGGTTCGATCCCCTGTTCTAGCAGATACTTATCAAACAAATTTTTCGAATAACGGCAGTTACTCTACAGCAAACAAAAAACTGTAATTTGATACAGGAGATCGCAATGTGGGAAGCACTAGCGGGCGAAAAATTTTTAAAAATGGGCATGGTTTCGCCGCTAATAGGTTTAATGTCCACATCTCATTACTTCAACCAAATTTGTTCAGATCAAATCATCTTAGCATCTTCTTTGACTGTGTGAAAATGGAAATGAAATCGGATTGTAAACACGCCCATACCCCTTACAACGGTTATGTTGAAGTCTAAAAGTGCGGTAACTCACTAAATAAATACGTCAGAAATATTAAATTTTACAAGTAAAATGGTAGAGCAAGTCTTCTTTATAAAAAAAAACGACAAAAGGCAACGTCCACCCTCAGGTGAAATCCTATAATTCAGGAAGTACTGAACCCATTTCTACAAAATTTGGTGCATAACATTATAGTGACATAGCTATCTTACAGTGTGAAAATGGGCGAAACCGGAATACAATACAAACACGCCTACTTTCCACATACCAACATTTTAAATTCTACCTATTTCCTTAATAAGCACAAATCAAAAAACAATGAAGTTATCGGAAGAAAACTTTATACAAAAAGTTACCTTCAGATATGACATCTAACGTCTCAAAATCGGACTAGAACTTATGCAGCCCCCAAATACTGAATATGTGGACCTGAGTGCCTATTGCTGATTATTTATCGAAAATAGCGGTTGACTTTATACCATATAGGTATATCGGTCAATATGTGAGTTATCTTAATGAAACTCAGGGAGCATCTCTTTTTTGTAACTATTAGTCTTTAAGTCATAAATAAAAAAAATATCGGTTCAATACTTTTTCTAGTCCCCCTACACCTAATATAAATGTTTTCGAAATGTTTCGTGATTTCCATCCATTTTGGCTATCCATCTGCTTTAAAGCATTTATATCAGTCAATATGTATGTGTTTTTTTAATGAGTTAAAATTATGTGTTTTATCGCTGAATATGACTTAAATTGGTTAAGACTTTGGTCTAAGCCTCATATGTCAATATGCTGATTTCCCCATTCTCTGGTTGATGTTTTTCTCATATACACACCATATATTAAATTAAGCTCCTTTGGTTGAGATGTTTAATAACATATATCTCATTTTAATATAAATAGTTCGAAAAAGCAAAACATAGTGATTAAACTAAGTGATTCTATGATTAATAATATAAGTTAATAAAATACCAAATATGATTGTAATCTATTCACGGTTTTGTCGATTAATTAATGTTAAATTTGTATCCAAAAAATTTTAATAAAATGTTTTGCGAGACCTGAAAGTATTTTCTCGCTTTTGATCTTTGCAACCGAACTTAATCTTCCTTACTTGTTTATAACTAATTTTATGCAATTATGTATGTATGTATAGCAACTACATGTAGTTTATTTCAAATATTGTATACCCAACGTTATATTGAAACAAATATTATACCATATTTTACCATTGTGTATAGAGGGGGAATGTTCAAAACAGTTCAAACAATTTTAGTTAAGGCCTTAGCGCGTCGATCTGTGTTTTGGAAAAGTGCACGTATGATATGTTTAATTTCTTCAGCTTTGTAATTGACGGTTAATATGCCTGCACCTTCACACCACTGCTCGGTGATTTCTTGCAACGATGCGTTGAGTATCATTTTCAATTGTTCAAGTTTCATCCACGACTTAATATGTATGACTTCATGTTTAGACTGTAAGAATAAGTGGTTTAAGTAGATATAAAAACAAACTTCACTTTAACGCTTTACCTTAAATAATGTTGGCACTTTCTCCAATATGACACCGATCAATTCACTCAACTCGTTTGCAACTGTCGCGGATATGTCCTCCATTGCAAGTATACGCCGTATGATTTCATTACAAAAATCATGTAAAATATCGCAAAATGTCTTATTGTACATGGCGTCTGGCAGCACGTTCAGCCAAACATTTTTCAACAAATCTAATTGCCGCAAGCATTGGCGCAACAATTTCAGCGGTGCTGTGCCAACTGTGTGGGCATCTGAAATATCTGAAAAAAATTACATGCGTAAAAAAATTATAAAGGAAATATTGCAAAAAGGATATAAATTTATATGGGTATTTACCGAATTCCTTAAGAATGCCCATTATAATTTTTTGCTGGTAGCTGATTTGCAAATTCAGGTATTTACAACCAGTCATCTGTAGTGTCTTCACCAACGCCGGATACGTGGGTATGCCTTTGTCCGAATTTGTAGTAACCCAATGTGCCAGAAATTGACAATTATTGTAAAACAAAGCCGACTGCTGTGGTATGCTGTTCATCAACTTTCCGTGTATATTGGGTACTTCGCTCAAATATGCATTAAGTATAACACCGATTACATTAATTAGACTCTCATCCTTTGTTTCATGCGATTGGCGTAGTATACGTTCCATTAGCTTAATAAGTTCCTGCAGCGTATATAAATGTGTTAAAAAATAATTGTTTAAACTTAAATTAGTATTACTAAACGTACCAGTGTGCTTTTCGATACCATGCAACAGGGAAAAAGAAATGGATTCTTCGATACATCATCTGCAGAATTCTTCTCAGCAATCAAAGCCATATCTTGCAAATCTTTACGCATTATATCAATTGCACTTTTCAATAGATTATTATTAAATTCTTCGCGAAAATATGCTTCGAATTTTTCAGTAAAATCACTTAAAGTGTGATCAGTTTCGGCATTAATTAAAAACACATCCGCTAAAAAGTGTTCAAATTGTATGACGTCCTCAACAAGCGTAGACTCTTCATATTCATTCATATTTTTCGGTATAGCATACTTTAGGCATTCATCCACAAGCAAATTCAGTAAGCGTTGCTTTATGTGTTCACCAATAATGGAGAATACTTGCTGATCATTCGATACTGAAACGTTTATATTGCTCAAACAAGTCAAAACCAACTTGATATTCTCGAATACTTTATTGTAAGAGGGTCGCAAACTTTTACTCATTTCTTTGAGTGAATAGGAAAGTTTTAGTTGTACATAATCTGGGCTCTCCTCACAATATTCTAGTAAAACGGGCTTCAAAATAATTGGCACAAAACAGTTTTCCAGTAAAAAGTCGCACATTTTGATTGGATTATAACGAGCCTGAAATAAAAAGTTTAAAGTTAAATTGTGCAAGTATTTGGTACAAACGCTATATGTTATTATACTTGTATATGCTGCATAACCAATCTAATGTAATATAACACATACCTGAAATAGTGCCATTACTGTGTCTTGTAACTGATTTACATCTGTTGATACTTGCAACGTAACACATTTTGAATGTGAAAATTGTTTTTCGTTGAATTGCACAAGTTCTTCGAATCTCTGTTGCAGATTTTGTTCCAATATTTTTGTCTGCATTAGATATTTTACATTTATGGTGTCGTAGCAATTGCATTTTTGTAATACACGATCTACATCACTGCCACTATCACAGGATATTAGACTTTTCAATTTTCCCAAATGGTCGAGCACAACCAAATACTCTTTATGTGAATTCGCCTCTTTAATGCATTGAAAAAGATCATCCACTTTGAGTATGCGATAGGAAACGCGTAAACCTAATGACATTTCACGAAACTCATCAATACAGGCAGCCAGTTCCGTATTGGCTTGACGTAGGGATTCGCTTGCCTCACTGCTACCTGTCTGCAGTAAATATTCAGACTCGCGCACTAATTGTTCACCTTCATGGAGGAACGCGTCAACAGTCGTTTGATTGGGCATGAAGTCAACATAGTTGTCGTCGATATTTTTGCGTACGCTCTCCTGGAAGCGTTTAATTTGCGTAAATATTTGTGAAACTGTGCTCTTGGTGACTTCAGAATCACCGCCGCTGCTATCTTTTAATATTTTTATTATATTTTCGCCATATTGCGGCGACTCCGTATTTAGTTGAAGCGTCATAATAAAAGCCCACTATTATTTATTTAATTTAGATATTGATCTTGCATGCCAAATGTTAGAAAATTCAAAATTCTGGCAGATGAAATTTATATTTTGACATTTTTCGTGGTGAATACAATATTACAATTTTACCCAACACACAAAGATGATACAAATAATTATTACCATATATTTTTGGTGTCGACTGTGACAGCTGTGACGTCATAAAAACCAGCAAATTAAGAGCAAAACAATCAAAACAAAAAATTTGTAGAATTTTAGTAAAGATTACTGTTATTTAAAATTGTAAGGGAAAAATAAATTGATGTTCAGAAATGAAGGGAGTAGTGTATAGCTTGTAATTGTGATCATTTAAATACATCGTTAAAAAATAGTTTAATGAAATGATATTTTTTAATATTATTGATTTAAAAAGTTAGTTTTGACATTCGCTTTTAAGTTACCTCTTTTCATTTTAAAATATTCCTATGAAGTCAACGTTAGTTCGCAGCCCCAATCTTGTCCTTATGTTTGTAAACTTTTGACAACTTATTATTTTCAATTCTGATATATTAACAAAAAATAAAAATAAAAGAACCGGCACAACACGGAAATAATTGATGTGAAAATAAATTTATTGTTTTAGAAAAGTTATTATTTAAATACGAATCAAATATTTTCCTGAAACATTTGCCAACACTTTTTACCAAAACCGAGCTGATATTCCTTGGCCGGATAAAAAACCGGCTCCGTTCCCGTAACTTAAACGTCTCCCAAAAACACGTTCTCTGGTGTTGATGTGCTGCTGTGTTATCCATAATTTTGCCTGAAAAGTATTAACAAGCCCACTATACAACCCTGTAGTACCGTAACAACGAAATCGAAACCAAAAAAGAAGTAATAAAACCGATAGGTGAATTTGTATCGGATATCGACAACTGCCCGCTTACAACAATTTCTCATCAGTATCTTATTTTCCCTGTTTGAGTGAGTAACAAAATTTTCGCAAGGAAAATTTTGCCGTCGAACGTGACATTTAATCGATGTAGGCATTAAAATATATTTCAATCGCATTGAATAGTGCATTAAAAAATTCGAACGTAAAATTTTACCCTAAAAAGGAATAATCGTAGAAATTAAAAATAAAAAAATCGTGGTAGACATTTCGCGTACAAAAATCTTGTAAGTGCTTTCGTCTGAATGCACATTGCATTGCAAGTAATCACGGGTAACATATTTTAATTATATTAAAACACAATAGTGAAGAAAATCGATTTTTCGTGTGTGATCAAAGAAAATTGGGCCACCTAAATACAATACGGTTCAGTTCAGTTCAAATCACTTCGGCATTTATAAAGTGGGAGAGAAGCTGAAACAAGTAAGCATTGCCGTTATAAGTGCTATTCGACTGTGTATAAAAACAGCAATTAATGATGTGAATTGGATTAACCTCCAAAAGCGCAAGTGCATTTACATTATGCTCATTATGTTGGTTGCTCTCATATATGCTAGGAACATATCAGGATAATATAATTAGAAAAGTGTGTTTGAGAAGGAGGCGGGCGTAAAACACGAAGTTGGTCAAGCTGATGTTGTTTTTCCATTAATCGTCTGCTAATTGGAATAAAGGTGGTGTGTTTTAGTCGAAGTCTCAGCTGATGAGTCGACGCTATTGCGCAAGGTAGTGCTGCGCAACTACACGCTGCTGGAATGTAACAGCTGTGTAAATAAAGAATTTCTACATACGCCTAGACAGGAATTAACATTTTTTGCTAATTTTACTTGTTATAAAAGTTATAATGGCTTTTATAATAATAAGGGTAAATGAAACCCAATAATACGCCGGCTCATATTTTACTTATTTACACTACGTTTGTCCGTATGGAGTTGTAATCTAGTGTGCCCACGTGAATAATGGTGTTGATTTTATAGGTTTACGTTAAATGAAGAATCGATATCTCAAAAACTGAGGGTCTAGTTCGCGTATATACAAGAGTCAGACGGACAGACCGACGGACATGGCTGATTCGACTCAGCTCGACACGCTGATCATGTTACAAACCTCGTGACAAACTTAATAAACTTAGTCCACATTATAATTAACAATATTCTTTTATATTAATGAGTTTGGAATATTTTGTATTTCATAAGAGTTTTGCATATTGTTGTATTTGATAATCGTAGAATATCAGTACTACTATATATCACAAATTTTGACCAACAAAATCGGTTTGAAGTCAGGCGGAAAGTTAAAATGGATGGAAATCATCGCGTAAATTGTGGTTAGGGAACCATTTGTTCGTACATTTATAGACACATTCGACACGAAGTCTGTTAGAATAACGAAAATCTTTAAAAGCTGGGTTTATTCATAGATCAATTTAACACATTTTCGGCAGTAAATGATAATACAAAAAGTGTTGAACGTTAACTTAATGTCAAGGAACACCAAGGATACCAAGTTTCATCAAGATATCTCAGTTTTTACTCAAGTTACAGCTTACACGGACGAACGGACAGACAGACAGCCAATTGGAATTAAAGTCGTGTCGTCATCCTGATCAATTATATAGATATATATGTATGTATATATAACTCACATCTATTTCGATTACATTTAGGTGTTACAAACAACCGCAAACGTTAAAAAACGTGAATTAACAAACATATATAATTAGAGAGAAGAGAAATAAATAAATTACGAAAGCTTACGAAACTGCTTAAAACAAAGAATAGAAGTTGTGTTTTTACGTAGAGCTCTTTAAGAAGCAAACTAAACAAACGCTAAAAATAAATTATATTATAGGAATGATCAACTGTATACACTGAAGGTAAGCTCATTGGATTAATTGTTATTATAAATATATTTTAGTGGATCTCTGTTTTTGAAAAAAGCGAAAGACTCGTAAGATAATGCTAGAATTACCAAATCATTTAACACACCTCTCTCTATGATCCCACCTCGTCGAAACAGCACGTTTTCTGAGACTACCGTAAGATGCCTACGATGACAACCACCCTATCGGGGATTAGATAACCGCTACAACAGCTACTAAAATTACCGCCGAATATCGCGTTACACATATACTTGTAGCGAAGATTTTCGTGAAATTAGTAAGCGCAATGTCGATAAGAGTAAATGTGTTTACTCTCCGACTTCACGTTATCACAAAAATTTGTCAAGTACATATGTATGTATTTCTAACCAAAAACACTTTTTAAGTATTGTAATATTATGCCGACTAATTTATCTCACTCATAAGCAGTGATTTTTTGAAGCGAAAGTCATATATTTTACATAATTTTATTACAACAAATTGATAATATTGACATTAAAAAAAGTGATTGCAAAACCTATTTAATTCACGCATTTGTCACACTCTCGATTATACCTCTCAAACACACATGATATACTATACAACCCACTTTTTTATTTCTTATTTTAAATGACATTCTAAAACTTTCTGACTTATATTTTATCGTCGTTGTCATGTATTGTAGTTGCATATACCCGTACATATGTATAAACGTATATTTATACCCTAAACCAGGTATATTAAGTTTGTCACGAAGTTTGTGACACCCACAAGGAAACGTTTGAGACGCTATAAAATATATACAGGGTCTACCAACAAGAACGACGTGATGTTAAAATGAAATAAAACACTGAAATTTGGTTAAAATGGGTTTTGTTTTTTTTGTAATGCAGATATTTTATGCCATTTATGATTTGAACAAAATGTCGGCCAAATGACCACCACGGGCCATTTGTATATCTCCGCCCGTTTACGCTAATTTTCGATGAGCCGGTGCAGCATTTCAGCGAATGTTTTCTTCGAGTTTCTCGAGCGTTGCTGCTTGATTGGGGTAAACCTTCCGTTTAACATATCTCCAGGGGAAATAATCTAGAGGCATTAAATCGCATGATCTTGGTGGCCATTTCTCGGAATTAACGAGTCGCCAAACTTTGCACGCAATGCGTCTATGTTTAGACGTGAAACATGAGGCCACGCACTGACTTGTTTGAAATAGAGATTGTCCGCGTGGATTTTTACCGAATTCCGGAGAAAAAAGTCGGTAAACGTCGTTTATAACGCTGTTGCTGTTGTTGTAACGGCAGAATTCTGCCGAGTTGACAGTCCTTGGGCTGATGAAAATCCGGGTCTGTTCCGGTTACATAGAACCGACTGTCGTGGGAATGGATGTTGTAACGTTTGCTATTGATGGTAACGTTATTTACTGCCTCATTTCGAAAGAAATAAGGTCCGATGATGCTGCCTTTTTGAGATATTGATCTCAAAATTTGCACACGACCTTTTCTCCTCAAAAAGTTACTCATTTGTCGGAACGGCCGATATATAGCTGCCATATAAACTGAACGATCAAAATTAAGTTCTTGTATGGAAACTTATTTATTTGTGAAGGGTATTCTAGCTTGTACAACCGAAGTTAACGCTTTTTCTTGTTTTTTTACCAAATTTAAACATATTTGTTTTATCTTATCAATAGATTAGTTTTTTGTAGCACTTACATCAGCTACATATATTTATATGTATGTAGGCTTAATAATAGTTAAAAACAAGCGTGCAAGTAAATTTCATTTGTCGAATTGATTGCAGTAATAACACTGGTCTGGCAAATTTTATTTTTGTTCCCCTTACTGTTTTCATCATATTTTGTGTTCTAAGCATGAATTTAAAAACCATTTAAAAATTGAAAAAAACATTACGATCCAAGTTATACAGTGAACAATTTTAATTTTATAGTCACAAGTACTAGAAGTGTCAGTAAAATATCTCATAACATTTAAATGATTTAAGAAAAAAGATTTATTTGATTTATATGATTTATTTATTTACAAAATTTTCGAAGAACTATTTCGTAGCAGACCAGTGTAATTTAGTGTAACCAACAACTTACTTTGCTTTTGCTCTTCTGCTTCTATTCTTTCTTCTCATATACAATATTTCGCCCGTTGTATATACCGCCCTCAATCTGCACACCCTCCACTAAATTTTCTGGCTTTCGTATGTTAGGGCTATTTAATGAAGTCACACGGGCGTAGTATGGTACAAAAGCACTCATCTACTTGTAAATATACCAGGCTAAGTTTATAATCCACATATGCGACTGATTGCACAATCTTTCATTGATAACTTTGGTTCGTTGGCGAGCCGGTTGATTATGTGAGTTTCCAATATTGTGTTGTTGTATTGTATTTGAATTGGTTTGGGTTTATTAAAAGTTATTATTGTGTATTTCCTTTTTGGTATTTTCGTGTGTGTAACTATTAAGTATTTTCTACACTTGTAAGTGTTATTAAAGCTTTGCAACTATCTAAACTTGAGAAAATCTGGTGAAAGTAAATAAAACAATTTGATACATCTGATTATATACAGTTATACACCTAGTGGGAAATTCTAAAAAAATCGATTTTATATTTCGATAGGTTATACCTTTAAAAATACCATACTTAAATTTCGATATCTCAAACAGTTTTTGAGTTACAACCTGCTAAAGTGTCAGCTCCATCAGTTTATCTTCAAACGCTTTTTTTTTCAAAACTACATTCTTCAACTTTGCTTGCGTGATTGCTCGTAGACAAAATGATCGGCTTACTATCAGATTTTCTGCATGTTTTACATATGCCATATATAGTTCCTCATACAAGATGTGTTCCAAAGTAAACAGTAAAAAAGTAACAAAGTTAACTCTAATGGCGCCATCTATATGTCGACTAGTGCGTTAGAATCTGCTATCCTTTATCGACTTCCAGTAAAAATTTCATGACATTTTATTTATTGGAAGTGAAGTTATTGTGTTTGAGGTGTCAGTATGTCTTTGTCATCGGTGCGAAAATGAGCATCGAACAAAGAGCCAACATTAAATTTTGTTTTAAAATTGGTAAAACTTTTACCGAAACGTTTCAATTGATGAAACAAGTTTATGGCGATGATTGCCTATCCCGTAGCAGAGTGCATAAGTGGTTTCAACGTTTTCAAAGTGGTCGTGAGAACATAAATGACGATGAACATGTGGGCCAACCAAAATCCGTGATCACCGAAAATTCCATCGAAACTGTGCGTGAATTTATAAAAAATCAGCCGAAATCAACATTGAAATTCATGGAAACGTTAATGCGGTATTCTACCTTGAAGTTTTGAAGCGTTTGGTGCGACGTATTCGACGTGTTCGGCCCGAATATCGCGGAGATGGAAGTTGGCGTTTGTTGCACGATAATTCGCCGTCTCATCGATCGACGCTTGTTGCCGATTATTTGACCAAAAATCACATTTTAACAATCAACCACTCCCCGTATTCACCTGATATGGCACCGTGCGACTTCTACCTTTTCGGAAAAATGCATTTGCCGATGAAAGGAAAGCGTTATGCAGACGTGGAGGCCATTCAAAAGGCTTGCACCGGCATACTGGCGGCCATACCGAGCAACGAGCTAAAACACTCGTTCGACATGCTTTTGGATCTTGCAAAAAGCTGTATAAAAGCAGAAGGAGACTATTTTAAATAAAATAAAATGATTTTGCAGATAAAACCATTTGTTCGCTCTTTTTTTTAAAAGTCCTGTTTACTTTGGAACGCACCTTGTATAATAACCTACCAGTTTTTTGATCCAATCAAAAATTAGGTCAAAAATTAAAATTGTAGGCAAAATTCAATTTCAACACTGACAATATGTTCTGGTAAAGATTTTTTTTATTTTCATCCACATCCACGAAGGCTGAAATGGCTGTAGCCGTGGAGAACCTTAAGTTTTAGAGCCTTTAAAGATCGCGAGTAACTTGAAAAATATTAAAATTAGTATTAACAGTTTCACCAGGGTTTCTCTCTTTTGGATTCTTAAAATAAATGCATTTTTCATCGCCCGTGACAATTTAATGCAAAACTGATTTTCTTTTGTGTCTTTGAAGCAAAATTTTCTACGTGTTTTTTCGGTTTTCCATTTGTCTTTCATTCATCTAATATTGCTTTCTGTCTTCAAACTTTTTCGGTGGTCTTCCACGTTCTTCATTTCTCACATCAAAAGCATTACCTCTGAACCGTTGAAACCATTATTTGCATGTTGCTTCTGATAGAGCATGTTCACCATATGCCTCGACAAGCATTTGATGCGACTCTGCAGCACTTTTCTTCAAATGGAAACAAAAAATTAATGCTTTCCGCAAATCATCACTTTTTGGTACAAAATTTGACATTTTTAACATAATGAAAAAATATGATGTTGTTTGTTCAATGACTGTAAGACTATTGAATATACTTGACAAATGTCAACCAACCAAACAGAAAAACAAGAAAAAACGTTAACTTCGGTTACGCCGAAGCTATAATCCCTTCACAAATACAAAGGCCCCTTACAAGAACTTGATTCCGAACGTTCCATTTGTATGGCAGCTATATGATATAGTGATCTGACCAATTTCTGTGGAGAATAATTTGTTGCCTTAAGCAATAACTCGTGCCTAATTTCGTGAAGATACCTCGTCAAATAAAAGAGTTTTCCATACAAACATACGTACATGGCTAAATCAACTCAGCTCATCATGCTGATCATTTATGTATATATTTTATAGGGTCTCCGACGTTTCCTTCTGGGTGTTACACACTTCGTGGCAAACTTAATATACCCTGTTCAGGGTATAAAAATTAAGGCTCGTTCACAACAAATGTTCCCTACCAAAATATTTGTATCTTAACGCTCACTTCGGTACACCACTTTAGCACACAAGTATAGCTGCCATATAAACTGATCGCTCAAAATCAAGTTCCTGTATGCGAAATTTTTTTATTTGTGAAGAATTTTATAGTTGCGGTG